TGCTGCTGAGGGGTTAGACATCGCCCCCCCCTTTCCTTTCTTCCTTTTTCTTCTTTCCTCCTTTTTTTTTTTTGTCCTCCTTGAGGATGCAGGTTCCTGTAGGTCACCGGCGCCTCGGGCTCGCGGGGTTTTCTTGAGACCTGATCCTCAGCGGTTAATTTCGCGGCAGGTTTTGGTGTAAGGCACGAAGCCGAGGGAGGGTTGCTCTTCAAGGAGCCTCTGTTTCCTTTTATTAGAGGAAACGGTAGATGTAGGGTGGTGTGCCTCGGTGTGTGCAAGTACAGGCACAGAGTCTCCGGCGCGCGGTGTTGAAGCCACGTTGAAAGCCAGAAGCGGAGATCGGCACTAGATGGTATTGAACCGGTGCTGGAAAACTTCCTAGGCAGATGGGAGCAGGCTCTCCTGGGGGTCGGATCTGATACCCCTGGGGAAGGCCCACCCTCGGGAGAGACGTGTTCTCACTTTTCCCTCGTTCTCCCGGCCTGGCCGTGCAGGATAGCCTGCATATAAGCACTTCGTCCAAGTGCCAAGCCTGGCACTTGACATTTAGGGAGACTGGGCAGCTGCACTGGCTTTCGCTTAGCCATCTCATGTTGCAATAGCCTCCAGTTCAGTGCAGTGGCTTAATGCAGTTACTTGGCTATAGATTCATGGCGTGATCACAAGGATGGTTTCCCACGTTTTAAAGTCACGATTAGTTGTTTTCAGATTTGTGCATTAATGATAAACAGAAGGAATGCTGCCATTTAAGATTGTTCTGAAACCTCCTAAGCTGATGGATTTGGTAGTTTATGATCCAGGTGTTGAGCGGCCAGGCATTAACTACAACATGCCTTTGATCTACATGTGTCCAAAGCCATCTTGAATCCTAAAGGACACGCTGACCAGGACTTGAATTTTGTGTATGGAGGAGCAGTGGGTAATGCATGCTTGTCCTCAAGAGTAACTGTGCACAAAGAGATAGGGACCAAGCAGGAGCCATCGCACCGTTTCTCCAATGCACAGCATAGCACAGCTCAGCTCAGCCAAAGTTTAAAGTATTTGCAGTGGTAAAAGCCAGTAAAAAATGGCTGTATTTCCCTGAAGTGTTAAGGGAATTATGATTCAGACAGTGCAGTGTGAAGCCTGAAGGTACAATATAAAATGTGGAAGGTAAGTACGAGGTCAAACTTAGTACTAGAACGTTGTTTTATATCTGGCAATATAACAAGGAGGAGTGAAGGTATTTGTTTGCACTGCCAGGAAGAGCAGTTGTTGAAAATGAAAGAGCAGGACACCAGTTGAGTTATTGAACTGAAGTTTATCCTTGTGCTTTGTTAATAACAGAGAAATGGAATAGATGTGTTGGTAAACTACCTGCTCTCTGCTACAGCTTATTAATGTTGTTTCTGAAGAATAACTTCTGGTTTCATCTACAGCGGGATGAGATCTTTATAACCTGTTATCACAAGTGTCATTGCCATAGGGTCCTTTGCTCATGAGGAAGGTTTTATTTGTTTGTGAAAAGCATAGCCATGAATAACAGATGAACTCATGGAGACAGAGGTAAATGGTTGACAAGTAAATGAGAACTCGGGGCATGACATCCACTCCAGTCCTTGTGAGGCCAGAGTTTGGGTCTCTCTGCCTGTAGTAGATAAGATGAAATCGTTCCCTGCCAAAGAGAGTGAGGGTGCAGTTCTCTGAATGCTGCTGACAGTCCAGTTGTCTTTGCTGAAGCCACATGATCCTGGATTTACAGCAAGCATATGCCATCATGAGGTTGTGGTTTTGGTACTCGCTTTTGTGTGAGTACGGTCTTTGCAGCAGGTGCACAGATGTGTGACCTTGTGTGGCCGCTTAGCATTAAAATATTTTATAAGATGTGTAGAGAGTCTTCTTTTGACTTCTTACACTAAAGCCATTAAACAGTAACCTGTTTAACAATTATTTCCATGAATGATAATTACCTTATCCCCTTATATTTTAAGGGAACCATTTTAAGAGGTCTGTGACTTCAGCTTTTTGTTCTTTGCTAGCCTGTTATTTTTTTTTTTTCCTCCTCCAGTGGATATTTCTGCCTTCTCACTTGGAGTATGGCCACTTAAATAATAGTTTCAGTATTTGGAACAACTGTGGGAAAGGAGAGATGAGTTTAGGATTGCCTTGAAACAGGTCTGCTACTACTGGAGTAGTGCTTGAAGAAAAGCTCACTCCTACCCTGGGCGGCCTCTTCCCACCTCTTTTTCTCTTCCCTTTCTTCTCCCACTGGAGCTCTCCATAGCTCAGTTCTGCCAAGCACAAAATGACTGATGAGCATTTGACGACTTGAGTGTAGAGCTCAGCTGACCTAATGACTAGCTGTTGCTGTAAGGGGCAGTCCCACTTTTAGTCTCTGGCTTTATGCTCCTGTTACTTCAGGTGCATCCCACTTAGCAGTTGTGTGGCCACAGAGTGAGCTAATATTTCTTGTTAGATCAGCTCTTTTTCAGGGCTGGTTTTCAGACAGATCAGCCACCTGAGCTGTGACTATATCGCCACTAGGTCCGACACTGAGGGTGGCAGAGGGAAGGAAGGGTAGCCCTTTCCCTGGCCCCTGAAGCTTCGGAGAGGAGGTGGGAAACTCATGGTGGGAGAGGTGGGAATGACCAGAGGGTTTGCTGGTTAATTGCACAACTAGTATCTGATTTGGAGGGAAAAAACAAAACAAAACAAAACCCAAAAAACATACCAAACAAGATTAACAAGTCTGTTCTGTTTTACAGGAGGGAGATTTCATTGGAGGGAAGGGGCAGATGAGATGTCAAGCTGAACCAGGTGAATGTGAAGAATTAAAGACATGACAAAAATGTGTGTTTATGTAGAAGAGCAGTCCCTTGATCTTTTGGTGGGATATTTGGTTATGTGAAAAGGGAGCAGATTTCTTCCATTCCCGAGGATGAAGCTTATGTGGATGATTAAGTTTTCAAGTTGCCAGTTTTGACGCAACAGATACCACTGCCGCTCAGTGCTGCCACTCAGCCAACGGAAGAGGAGCGCAGTTGTGCTTTCTATAGTAAGATAGGGGAATAAAGACCAGAGGAGACAGGCTCACACCTGTCCTCTGGAAGCTGCAGGTGGCAGCTTCTAAAAATCCCAGGTTAGGATAGGCTCTTGATCATGACAGTTGTATTTTCTTTAAAGGAGATTTTTCTTTTGCGTGCTTCCTGTTGTTTGCTGGGAGAGTGAGTCCTGTATCTTACCAAATCTCCGTGAGAAGCATGGCTGGTGCTGTATTTAAGCCTGCTAGCTTGGCTACCAGAAGGGTAGGGGGATCTGTCGGAGACCCAGGCAGGGGCACTGCTAGGTGACAGTCATAGTCCTGGTATGTCATCTGCTATACTGCTGGGACGCATTGCTGTTAGCACACAGGGAGGCTCAGCTGGTCTACGTGAGCTGCAGTCACACCTTTTGCCTACAATGCCTTTGTTGTCTTACTCAACCAGTCGCTTAAACTTGCTGCTAAATAACAATGCAGCTAGTTCCTGTTGCTGAGCCTGTAATAAAGAATACAGTGCACCTTTTCCTGTTTAGGGGCTTTGGCCAGGGTTTGAAGAAACGGTAGGAATTTTACAACATTTAAAGCCAATTTGAACTGGTGCTTTCACAGCCTCGGTGTTCCCGCCAGTGTTGCGTACGCATGTGAGCCTGCCTTCCTCTTTGTGCTGGCCCCCTGCATAAGTGGGCGTAGAGTGCGTGCCCAAGTGGTAGAAAAAACATCTCTTTCCTTCCCCACCCCGAGATTTCTGCTGATTTCATGCTTTGTACAACACCGATGCTGGGACAGGGGGATCAGGCTGGCTGAGGGAGTGCTGATTGAGATCTGCTGGCTGTAGTGTTTGCAGCTTGAGGATGGAGACAGCCAAGGTTGCCAGGTCCCAGTCCTGGGCTGAAAACGCTGCAGTCATTTTTGAACAAATTTCAACCTTGTAAGCGTTTCTGATGTTTTAAAGTAGATCTTTGAAAGATGGGGAATTACCTATTTGTAGTCTCTCTGGGCCAAAAGCAGTGTTCGGATGTCAGCATGCTTTGGGTCATGTCCTAAATGTATATGCCTTCTCTGCTTTGTGCTCTGTTGACTTCTCAAAATAGTATTTATTGATAAGGGATAAAATTCAGAAAAGGCATTAATTTATATTGAATTAAAGTTCTCTGTTACGTTCTGATGTCTAGGAGGTTAGTTATGCTAATTATTACTTGTGTCTGAAATGGATAATTGCTGATTTAAACGTAGAATGCCTTGATAAGAACACTTACATACCAACCTCTCTCCTTTAAAGATCAGCAATTAACACAATTAGAGTGAAGAGCTGGCCATGTAGTGACCAAGCGTATCAGAAGACAACCTTAAGGGAGATCAGCGCAGCTCTGCAGTGTATCTTCCAAGTCTGTTGCTAGTCTACAGTTGCATGGCTCTATATAATTGTGCTGCGTAAAATTTGATACCAGCTGTAGAGTAGATGGCTCAGCTTCCTCCTGGGATTCGCTTCATCACTTTATTTTCAAGAGATCAATGGTAAGTCTTGAAGTATGTTGCAGATCTTTAGTTTCAACAATGTGAGTTTATATCTGGGAAAGACGGTTCTGGTGTCTTGCTCTATTTTCACCTTTTCATTGCTTCATATATAAAGCAAGAAAATAATAGTTGTGTAACACACAAATATTGCTGTCATTAAATGCTGGCATACATTGATGGGGGAACTTATTCGTGGACTGTATTATAGATCCTTATTTATCAAGTGTGCTAGGCAATAAACCCTTCTGTCCTTTCCTTTGCAAGGTATGTACTTGAAAGGATGAATTTCAAATTTTTATTTTCAAACTCTTGGGTGGGAAGGGGGCTGGAGATTAGCTTGTTTGTCTTGACTAGAAATGTGTATTCTCCTCCAGAAATTGATGCATAGTAAGGGCTAGTCGAAGGTCAGTTTTGGTTCTTGCTACTGTAATATAAATTGCAAAAAACAAAACAAAAAAAACCTTTGCTTTTGGAAGTTAATCCTGGAAGCTTTTCTGAAGTCTGGTCGAACGACATCAGCTCTTACATTTTCTCAGAGAGAGAATACTGAGTCAGTTGTGTGTGAGTAACAAAGAAGTAACAAATGAAAGACCTAGCACTTCCCATTTGAGTAATTTTATCGCATATTTTTTCTAGTAGAGCAGCAAGGAAAGGACAAAGTCATTACAATTTTTATGGCTTGTGAGGATGCCTTCAGTAATGGGGGTGAATAACTTACAGTATAACTCACTTCTTTTTAAAATTTTATTTGTGAATATGCCAGAAATATAAAACGAGACCCTTGTTATATGGAAGTTTATAAGGCAGAGAATGACTGCAGAAGATTAATTACAAATTAGGAACCCTAATGGGCTGTGTGGTATCAGAGCGTTATATTTATGCATGTAGCTTTATCTACAGATATTTTAAGGTCAAGGCTGGAAGGAGCCAGTAGATCTAGTCTGATCTTTGTGCATTGTTAAAAGTGTAAATCCACAAAACATTTCCTTCTTAAAAAACTGAAACGTATGTGCTGCAGGGAGAGAATAGAACAGCTCAGATTGCCATCTTTGCTTAAAACCCTTTCAGTGACAGAAAGTTTATGACATGTCCTTATAATTCAGACATACTGCAGAGAAAGACCTAAAGATGCCGGTCAGGATGAGGGGAAGGTTCCTTCCCAAAACCCAAGCTGGTTAATTATGTTCATGTACTCCGGCTGACAGTGCACACTTCCGGTGTCTGTCCACTCTGCATTCTCTAGAAGAGGCTGATCCTTATTGTTAGAGAGGAAGGCAAAATAAAGCAAAAATCCTAAAAGCGGTAAGGAAAGAAAAAACCCAACAATTCAGAGAAACCAAAGTGACAGCACACACAACCACCCTTAATGTCCTGATCTTAGCAGAAACCAGATGAGACCAATAATATGTGAGATCTGATTATCACTGTGTTTAATGTGGAACTGCCTTTTAATGGTCCCTAAAGGAAGGATATAAACTCAGCAAATCAGCTGCACACAATCCAAGTTCAGAAAGAAACAGCACTACCATGTGATCCTGTCTCTACCTGTGTATTACACCCAGGTAATTCCTTTAAAAGTTAGGTCAGGTCGGATGTTCTAAAACAGCATTCATGCTAATGTGGTTTCTCTGGCTGTTAGAGAACGTGAAAAAAGTTGTCTTCAGTTATTCCCAAAATAACAATAACTTTTGTAATATTTTAATGTATTAGTATATAATATAGCTTAGTGCTAAAAGTAAATCTGAATAAAATCATTTTCAAACACATTTTTTTCTATGTTATAGGTATAGAGCCTTCATTTTCACTCTCACTTTCTTGTTATATGCCAGCTTCCATCTATCAAGGAAACCTATTAGTATAGTTAAGGTAAGCAACGCTATGTCCTTATTTAACATCCTCTACTCCTATTAAACAAGGAAATACTCTTCCTTTTCAGTATTTTCTTTTGTGAAAGGCAGTGTTTAACTTGGAGTAGTTTAAAAGATGAAAAACTGATGAAGGTGGTACACTTTATTATTTACTTAATAAACTTTCGTGAGACCACTCCTAGAATAATGTGTGTGCTTCCGTTCTTTAGGCTTAAGACTTTGAACAGCTATGCCTATACTTACCACTGTTCATGAGAATTAATCTAATATAGCGATATATAATGTGGACCCTGTGGGATTTTTTTTTTTTTTTTTGGTCATTTATAGCTCTACTCCTGTTCCCAGTGAAGCTGGTGGCAAAATCCTCTGGGACTGCGTTATATATGACTGATGAGTAAAAATGGGTAAAGTGGCTTGATGTTAGTGAAGCATTTCAAAATCCTTCAGAATCAGAAACACCAGTTCGCTATAGGATGTTGTTACCAACCAGTTATTTTGTTATGTAGTAGTGGCTTCACACAACAAAACACATTGGCTAACAATTCTGCTGATTTCAGCGGGTTTGACACAGGTTCATATAGAGCTAGAATGGTCAAATTTGCTTGCGCATGGGGTTTAGCAGGGTTCTGTTACAAGCGAGTCTTCTGTTATTAAATTCCCTTTCTATATCAGGGAGAGCTGCATAAGCACTGTGCTGCTTCACATGAAGTTGAGCTCAACTCCTACAGAGAATATGCTGCCCAGATTCAGCCTGTCAAAAAGCCATCTAATGTGTCTCAGTGTGGTTGGGAGCCATTTGGTGAGTGACTTTTTGTTTTTTTTTTTTTTTTAAATGATAGTGTCTTGATAATGAGAATTGGATTATCTGCCTCTTGCTATTTGTTCTTCATATGTGGAAGCATTTGGGAGGAGTGCTTTCTTTTGAATGTTCTTGTTGATATTCCAAACAAAACCTTTCCTACTTAAAATCACTTAAACACCTGATGTGATTTTATCTATTATAACTGTGAGATGTTTCAGTAGAGTTTCAATCAGAAAGCGTGCTTGTGTAGAAATTTAGACTCATCTTTAAAATGTTTACTATGGGAAAAAAAATTGAGACGAATAAAAGCAAGTCATTATAATCTTCTGCTGTTTTAGTTCAAGGTCCAGAGGTCATTAAAAGGGAATTACTTGCTGTGTATCTAAACTAGAGCATATTTTTCTCCCCAATGTAATGATGAGAAATGTGGGACTTTCTTGCAGAATAGGGTTGCCAGCTTATTGAGTAGCTTATAAACCTGATCCTTTACTTAAGTAGGCAAATATTTTTTCTATTTAGAAGTTAAATTTAAATTTAATTGTATTTTAATTTAACTGAGATTTTCAGTCATTCCCTGACATTTTATCACTGTCATGAATATCAGTGGAGTAGAACGGTCATGTTCAGTGTGCTGGTCCACTCAATCTACGTTTTGTTTGTGTTTTTCTCTTGTCTAAGAAGCTGTAGGGAATGGTCAACTTGTTAATAACTAATATTTCTTCTGTTGCCGAGTGCCGTTTTGAATACAGTGGAATTAAGAATAGGCCTAGCATTATTTTCCTAATATGTTACAGATAAAAGTGTAAGTTGTAGAGGGGTTTTTTGGTTTAATAAAATGTTTAGCAAAATTCATGCTTAAGTCTACAAGTGCCTATTTAAAATTAAATGTCAGTGCAGGTACACTAGCAGTTTTTTATAGTGTAAAAACTGTTGGAAAGCTATTGGTACATTTAACCTGTTAATTTGTTTTGAAAATGTATTCTTAGATAAGAACAACTACAAGCAATTGCTGGGCGCACTGGATTACTCATTTCTCTGTGCATATGCAATTGGAATGTATCTGAGGTAAATCTTTTCACTCTTGCAAACCTGCTTCCTAGTTTACTATTTATATATCAGGCTATCCTACTTCTGAGCTACTATCCTTTTGGACTGGAAAGTTTCCAGTGAAGACAGGAAGAACTTGGCTGTCACGCTGCAATCTGTGTGATAGGTGCTGTGAAAAAAATGTGCCATCCTGAGTGCCCAGTGGTATAATCCCTGTTGGTATGTATCCCCACGACTGCCTTGGGCAGGAATCCTTCCCAGCTCACAGTCTAGCCTGTCCTCCTTCATGTGGAGGTGGGATGCATGTCCCCAAACTGTAGCTTGCGTGTGTGGACTAAGCTAACTGTCCTGGCTTTCTTTTAGTAAAAGGAGAGAAGCAGGCACCTCCTGAAAGTGTACTGAGCCTATCTTAAAGTGTATGGGATGAGCTGTAATTTGGAGATGCCTCTTTTTATCGACTAAAAATGGAACCTTCGGGAGCAGAATCATTAGTGAGGGAGACAAGTCTCACTTTCAGTGGCTAGACACATTGGAGATATGTTTCACCTTGCAGGTCATTTGAAAAATGATTTTGTAAATAAGCCATTTCTGGTGTGCTGCAGATGAGTATCTCCCTGAAAGATGATTGTGTAGATGTCAGTACTTGGCAATTAGTGAGTGTTAGCTGTTTGTTGTTTTATGTTGTCAAGTGGTAAAAATTGCTCATTTTATTTTTAGTGTTTCTAGGAGGAGAAAAAAAAAACCAGCAGCTGGCAACAGAGTTTCTCTGCAACCAGAATTATAAAACACAAAACGGTCATTATTTCTGAAAGCTTGGGGTATGGTCTCACCATAATCATAACCTTTTTTTTTTTTTTTTTTCCTTTCCTTCCACATTTCAAGTGGTATAATAGGGGAACGGCTGCCTATCCGGTATTATCTGACAGTTGGGATGCTTGCTAGCGGACTCTTCACTGCAATGTTTGGATTGGGTTATTTCTATAACATACATAATCTGTGGTTTTACATAATGGCCCAGGTAGGCATGCTGTTATTTAGATGCTGTGAGTTTCCATGGTGCTTTTTGGTGTTGTGTTGTTTTTTCAGGTGCAAACAATGGTTAATGGTTAGATGGGAAGATAAAAATGCTGGTGTACATTGTGCTATGGAAGGTATTGAGAGACAGCAATGATCAAGTGTATAGCCCCAGGCTTTATTTTTAAAAAATGTTTTTTAAGGGAAGAAATCTTTAAAAACAAAGTGTTTCAATCTGTGTCAAATCACTGATCAAATCTTTGCAAGCCTTCATGTGGGAGAGTTTTTAAAACAGACATATTTACATTTGTCAGTGTGCCAAGACCCGAGTGACGCATCCTAGATTTCTCTGCTGTATAATTATATGCTGTTAATGATGAGCAGTTCTCCCGCACTGGTGTGGCTGAGACACAGCCAACTTCTGTAATGGAAATCATTGTGTGGGACTTTTCAGAGCACTTATAGATCTGCATGTACGTTTACCTTTGACCTAAAACGGAATTTAGGTCAGGATCAGGATATGATTTGTGCTTCTGAGTCATTTTAGACAGGTCCACACCTTGCATTGCTGCTCTCCTTGTATTATATAAGCAACACTTTCACAGCTGGCCTGTGTCCATGACATGGTGCAGCACGGCATGCAGCGATACTCACTTGGGTATTGAAAGCTTTATAGCCATTTCACCTGTCACCTGTTTAACCATGTCAGTACCTCAGTGCTCTTGGGCTGTTTGATTTCTAAGACCTGAGCCACCTTCTTCAGGGTTAGACTAGATGTCTCTACAAAGTGGTGCACTGTGTGATGTGGACAGTGTATCCTGCAATACCAAGAACAGTCTCACACTACCAAACTAATTGGTTCTTGTTGGATTAAGTGACGTTGTTTATGTTATGAGCATGTTCAAATGCTCATTGAACATGTGTATTATTGTACTGTGATCTTTATGTCAATGCGAAATGCTAGATAAAGAATTTTACAGGAGTTGAAGCAAGTTAGGATTCCCTGGGGACCTGTTCAACATCCAGGCTGAAACAGTTCCTGCTCCAGCCTGAATATAGCACGTTAAGTTTCTTCTCTCGGTTTATGCACATATTTCTTTTATCCCTTTCAAAATTAATGTTTGGCGTTATCCAGGCTCCCCTAAAGCTTTCTTTTTCATCTTGTTTGATTACAAACATACTTTACCTTACATTCAAATTAATCAAAGTGTTGTGTAGGTATTGGGCATGGGGAATTAGTTTATCGGTTCTAGTTAGTGGAATGTGTTTTTTGTTAAGTCTGTGATTAAATATTACATTTTTGTGTTTGACTTGATAAAGCTTTTGAAGACATTAGATCAAGGGAAGAATCTCTGCAAAAATATTATATGCTATTTGTTCTTGGAAAAAAAAATGCATTGGAAACGCCCACTAAATTTCTAAATTCAAAGCATTTGTATAGGCTTCCTTTTTCCAGTGGAGCACTCAGCAGGAATTGTGTAGGAACTTGACTTATTGCAAGCTGTGTTTGTTTATTGTTATTTTTATATGCTTTCAGATAGCTAATGGCTTAGTGCAAACTACTGGCTGGCCAAGTGTCGTTACATGTATTGGCAACTGGTTTGGAAAAGGAAGGTAAACAATGCGGAATCCAAAGTACTGGAACTACAGATCAACACATTTTGGGCTGTAATATTGCGATCAATTTAAGTATCTTGCTTTTGCTTCAGTGATTTTTGGGGATGAAACAAGCACTTGGGTAGATCTTTGAGAGAAATTTTCTTTGTTATGCTGCTCAGTTTAACCTGAAGAGTTTAGGCTACTCTCTCTCATGTCAGAAGAGTGTTCTGTAGGAGCTCTTTAGTCTATTCTAGTTTAATGTTCATTTTTCAGGTGAAGAATTTCAGAATTGAATTAGGTGGAATTCTTGCAAATGTTATTAGTCTAAAACCACTTATAATAAAGGTGCTTATCATACCATTTTAATGTGACATTTCTCATGGTTTCATGAGAAACCATGCAGGTTAAAGCAATTGTCAGGGTATGGCCCATTTTGTCTAATGCCTTTTTTCAAATAAAGTTAGAGAAACTCAAGTATTTAATTAAAGAAGAAAATAGATGTAGCTGCTGATTTAACCTTTCTTTTTATCACTTTTTTTCTTTAAAATAATTTTTATTTTAAATTCTGCAGAGGTCATGCATAATTACTTTTTTTGTCATACCATACAGCAGTTTTTCATAAATTTTGCAGTAGCCGCATGTTAAATCCTTTGGTTCTGATAACTGTTGATGCATGTAACATACAGTAATGCTTCTGCAGTGCCATCCATTGTAGATACCATTAAATGAACATTGTTATGAATCAATACAAGAAGAGGACGTGTGAAAATTAAGTATGCTTTGTATATAAAATCATGGGATAGTTAAGAAACTTCCATCTAAAACTAGTTTTCTGAGGTCCCTGCAGCCTCTTTGTTGAAACTTACACAATTTAGAGAACAATAACCGTTATACAAAATTGAATAAAATTGGTGATTCTACACAAAAGGGATGCTTTTATTCAGATTTTTGCTTCATGCAGAAGCAAAAATCTTTCCTCTTAGGAGGCCAAATAATGGACTGATAGATAGGGCTCTGGTCTGAATGCCAGTAGTCTGGTTTTTTTTCTCATTTTGCTACGAATTTCTGGAAACGTGAGCAGACCTTTTAGATTGCTCCAGATAGGTTAGCAAATTAGGTTGCTCCAGATAAAATCCTACTGAAAGCAAACTAGCTTGCCCATGACTTAGGAGGAAAAAAAGCTGTTAACTGCCTTGACATTAGTAGGATTTTTGAGGCGTTTATGTTAGCCCAGCTGGAGTTATTGTGCAGCAGCTCTAATCTGAAATTTCCAGGCTGAAAGGAGTCTCATGTGTCAGCCAAGCTTGTGCAGGTGTTATCTTCAACTAATGCATGGTTAGCCCAGGATGTGTTCAGAAAATACTGGATTTGCTCTACCTATCCTGTACACGTTATTTTCTTCTGCATGGTATGTCTAATGTATTCTGAAAGCATCAGATTATCTGTGCAATGTGTCTGCAGGAGGACTTGCATCCAGGAGCATCAGACTTAGTATGTATATGCTATACAACATGCTCATGCTTGTTTTAATCCAGGAAACTCTATCCAGAAATATGTAAGCTCTAAAGAGGCCTTTAAATCTGTCACGCACAAAGAAGTACTTAGAACACTCCTGTTAATGTTCAGGTTCCTTGAAATTTCCAGATGAAAGACTATAGCATTAAAAAATGTTCAGTAATAGAGTAATAAGGTTTCAGTTATTTCACTGACACTAAGATGAACTATTTTTGATATACTTTTCTCACTATAATAATGCTTATTGTTGGAATCATGAGAAATGTTTTTCTTTTTTGATGCAGGAGAGGTTTGATCATGGGAATCTGGAATTCACATACTTCAGTGGGAAATATCCTGGGATCCTTAATTGCTGCTTACTGGGTGTCTACTTGCTGGGGTCTGTCCTTTGTGGTGCCTGGTGTTACCATTGCTGTGATGGGGATTGTTTGCTTCCTGTTTCTTATTGAACGTAAGTGTTTTGGTCTGATAAAACCGTGTAGGTACTTGTTATGAGACAGGAACATCAGCTGTTTAAATTAAGGTGCCCAGTGCAAAGTATATATCATAGTTTATTCAGATACAAACAAATATTTTTCAAACTGTGCTGATACTTAAAACACTTCTTCCTAGACCACTAGGTGGAGAAAAAGACGAGTATGTCCAAAGAGTTAATACCCTCACTGTGGCACACTCGAGGGAGTACTAGTTCAGAATTGAGTCCAGTTCCCTGTCTTTACATAAAATCTTCAAGTGTATCTTAGCAGAATATCCCACCTTGCTGCAGTGTATATACAGTGCTACCGTCCAACCCAATTCTGTGCTACGTGATTGAGAAACTGGCTGATAGAGCAAATTTTGTCACTTCTACTGATAGAAATTAAAAGAGAAAGAATTCCTCCTTTCGTCCTTATGCGAACTCAGATGTATTGTTATATGAAAGCTAATATTACTCTAGCTGTTCCATCTCAAGAAGTAAAAATTCTACAGATATAACTGGAGCATTGTAGTGAGCTAGTATGTCAGACCAGCACTTAATAGAGTCATAGAATGGGAAGGATACCATGGAGCACCCTTTTCTTTTCCCCTGCAGGCACAATTAGACACTTATACCAGGTGCTTTTGTGTCATCTGTAGTGTTGCCTTATTGGGAGTAAATTACATGATTGCTTTCCCCCCAATCCCCTCATAGTCTAGACCAGGCTGTACTGATGGAAGAATTTTAAGATAGTTGTTATCCTTGTTTTCCCAGTTAACTATGTGTGGTATTGTATTTCAGACCCTAAAGATATAAGTTGCTCCTGCACACCATCTAGTGTAAGTAAATGCTTTTTCTATTTGATTTCTGCCTTCTACATGTTTACTATGGTAGTTCTGGGAACCAGACGATCTGTGTGGCCCTTTTGTGCCAGGCCCTGCTATAACTGACCCAAACATGAGGGAATGATCACTGTTCTGTGCTGCGGTGGAAACCACTAGCTTGCTTTCTGTCAGAACAGGGTGAATCAAAAGGTGAATGATTGGTTTTAACTTAGGTTTTGCTCTGGATGAACTCATTATAGCAAAACAAGTAAAAAATGTTCATCTTTCTTTAAGCTTTCTTATTTTCCTGCAGTCATGTTGGGCAACAAGGCGCTTAGAGCGTTTTGACTTATCCTCTGGTTATCCTCCTTACTTAGGTATGGCATAATGAGATAGCTGCCACCCATATCCCATGAAGAGTGTTGCTGTTTGAGAATGCTGTGCTAGGCATTGCAGAAACTAAGAAGCAAACAGCACCTTCCCCTGACCTAGTCCCAATACAGCATGCATCTATGAGTTTGGGATGGAAGGTGGTAGAGGGAAAGACTGTAGAAGCACACGACTGGGGAGAAGAGGCAGCAAGGACTCGATATGAAGTTGAGGTGAAGAGACTGGAGTGAACAGCCCATGACAGTGAATTTTGTTATCATATAACATGGCCTGTATGTAATTAAAACCAACTGGGTTAATGAAGATTATTCACGCATTAACAAAGAGCTGGGAAATAGAGAGAGAAATAGCTTATGCTTAATGGTATGGGTCACATGGCAATACAATGCTTTAGTTTTTATAGACTCACAGAATAATTTAAGTTGAAAGGAACCTCTGGAGGTCACCTCATCCTATCCCATGCTCATAGTAGTGCTAACTTTGATTTTCATGGGATTGCTTAAGTCTTGCCTAGTCAAATGTGGAACGTCTCTAACGATGGAGGTGCCGTTTATATTTAGATGACTTTCTTTTAAACGTCCAGTGAGTTTTTAGAATGTAAGTATTGATCACATGGTTCACTGGCATAAAAAACAGTGCATCTTGCTGTTGTATGACAGCTTATATTTCAAGGGCTTAAATATCAGTGAGGCAGTGAACTTTATCGCACACATGCTGTTTTCTCTCTGGAATGTCTGCTGCCTGATCACAAGCGAAAACATAGCTGTGTTGACACTAGAGTTTGAAAATCCAGCATTAGAGACTGACCACCTCAGGCAATGTTGTGGCAGGATTACAGCGTGTACGTGGATGCGTAAGCCTTCTTTGGGTTGTTGAACAATGAATACGTACTGCCTTTGCCATTGTGACAGCAAAACTGTAGCTTTTAATTGTTTCTAAAAGGAGGTCTTGTGTTTAAATATTTGCGTAAAGTGGGTGGTGGTTGAACACTATTAAATAGTAAGTTGTGAAGGTGTTTAAGCTCCAATACTGATATGTTTGCCCAATGCATTTGATGCAAAAGTTCCTAAGACTTCTTAAGCGCTCAAAAACAAGTCACACAGGAAGCCATGTATATACTAGGAAAAGAGGTGTACCTTAGCAAGCTTTAGCTACTACATGTGAAGATTATTCCTTTCTTGCTTCGTGTAGCTGTGACCCGAGGGGAGGGAGGCAATCCAAGCAGAACAAGAGAAAAATAAGCAAATAAAGAGAACAAAGCGCAGAGCTTTAGGAAGACCAGCTATGTGCACCTGTTGGTAACAGAACGTCATTTGTAATCCAGCTTAGTTTGGGAGTATGTTTGCAGGTTCATCTCTGTTTTATTTTCTGTAACACTTTGGTATCTGTTTATTTGTACTGTAACCAAAAGGCTCTTCGTCCTTTGGCTCCCAGGGACTGTCGGCAGTCACAGTCTGCCACGTTTTAGACAAGTTCTTTGAAACCATAGCAAGGGAGGAATGGTAAAGAAGGGCTTGGGGTTTCCCTTGTGTGAGGACAAATCAGGCCTGTGGAGGAGCATGCTGGAGAGGAGGTCCCGAGGGAATCCAACGTATGTTTTCCTGAACTAAAGGATTATACTTACGATAATCTGCACATGTATGTATATGTCAACTAAAACTTCTAGTTGCAAGCCTCACAGATAGATTGTACAAGGATGATTTCCCTTCTCTCTATCAATTTTAGATAGATGGCTTTTTGCATTTTAAATGTTCTCTTTTTCTTGAGTAGTAACTGGAGGCAACTTGTCTTTTGTAGTGCGTGTTATTTCATTTTCTTTGCTGGTTAGCGTGTATGTGGTAGGTGGGTTTTTTTTGCCCTCCCCTCTCCTGATATGGAAGGATCCTGATACAGCTTTTGATTATTTTTCATGGCCTGTGGAACTCCTATTCTTAGTGTGTTACTGTGAGATAAGGCGTACTCACAATAACCTCTGTATTTTTCATTTAATTCTCTTTCACTTCTTAAAGAAAACTTCTGTCAACTATGAGACTATTTTACGTGAATCTCAGAGACTCTTAAGAGGAAGATTTTTTTTTTTCCCCCTTGGTTTTTATGTAGTTCAGAAATGCATCCGTGAACATTCTAGCTGTTTTTATAATAACTAGAGCATAATTTTTACAAGATTTTCTGTTAAGCTTTGTAGAAGTCTACCATTTGTTTCAAATACATTTCCTGGAAAGCATAACTGAAGAAGTCTGCACAATAGATTGCTCATACATTTTTCCCATACCAGCAGTTAGTGAAATATGACATGCAATTATTACCAACCTTTTAGGAGCTTTTATTTCCTTCTGTTCACCACCCCTCCACCCAACCCTAGAAAGGGGCTATCGTTTGACTTAATCTTCTCCAGCACTGCAGCAAGATCACTGCACCATGTGCAGCTTCGTTGTGTAGCAATGCGTTTGACCTACTGTGTCCCTGCAAATCTTGCTCTCCAGAGGAGAACCAACCAAGGACATCACTTCTCCATTCTTCATTCTATATATTTGCATCTGCAATTCCTGTAGAAGGTTTATAAAGTACTTCCCCACACTCCGTGGAGTTTTCCCAGATTAAGATTTACCTTTATCTTGGAAAGCTCTGTGCCATTTGAATTGCATAAATACTTGCTTCAAACCTGTGCGGTCTGCAAAGTACAATGGTTTCTAAATTCTTAGTGAACCTGACTTGCAGTTTGCGTTCACTGTGGGGAGGGTGGTTTTAGGAGTTAAGGAAATTGATAATTGATAAGAATAGAAGTTTGGTAAGATATCCTAGAAATGCAGATGTGGTAGTGACCATATCTGATCACTAAAGATAAAAAGATTGCTTATAGAAAATAGTTTCATGCTATAAAACAGACTGTATTATCATTTGGAACAAACAATTTCAGCTTTGCTGAACAAGGAGCAGAATTTGCTGGCAGGTGCAAAATGATAACAATCATTTTGTGCTCCGTCATTCTGAGAAGCAAAACAACCTGTGTGCTTTTGCAAATTGTTAGAAATCCTTTTTGAAGAATAATAAAAAAATACATATATGCTATGCTCAGAATGCTGTAGTAGGTCACTTTGGACAAATTTTTGGTTAGATGCAGGCAGCTGTACCTGCTGGTGCCAAAACCTGAACTTCATTGTAGAAAAATGAGGTGGGTTAAATTTAAACTCACATAAAACAAATGCTTGACGTGAGTGAAATTTTTAGGGTAGAGTTATATTAAGATTTTTAGGTCATATTCATCTCTGCGTGATATCACTACCCTGGATGAAGTTGGTCCACTATTTATTTGCAGCACATTCATGAGCCTAATGTTTCTACAGCATTTGCAATGGTGCAAATGGTTCTCATTTTATTGAGTTGCCCAGAAGTACAGAGGGAAAGCTGGCAAAGAGCCTCGGATATGCAGTTCGCATCCTTTGTTCACCAGTTTCTTGGGGTGTGCTTTGTTTGCTTGTGTTCACCTTTGCTCTGGATTATGAAATTGAAATTTGTTTCAAAATGTTTGTATGGTACATTTAGATGGCAGAATCGGAGGTTTAATCTACAGCTTTCCAAATGACAATACCCATGGCAAATAAACGTGAGAAGTCCGTGTGCTTTATCATGCATTGATGCACTTTAATACTGGACATGAGAGAGCACATTTAATGGCATTTGTAAAACATGATGATTTAGAACTTTTTTATTGCTCCTGGTTGCTTTTCTCCCTGTGTTATTTTTATAGGTACATATGTTAGTTGCAGCATGTTCATGCAGACCTGTCTTTATGCTCTAGAAACTTTCTTTAATGTGATTTTGTATTTCCAGGAAAACCAGTTCCCTTAAACTCCTGTAATAAAGTGCTCATGCATTTAGAAGATACCAGGCTATAATTGTTAACTTCTGAAAGAAGAAAAAAGTCTTAAGTATTAAATGTGCAGTCTTACGGTCTAGTCCTTATCCCCAGACATTTCTTCCTTACCAGAGTAAATCTTATTTTTGACAGTCAAATGAAAGTCTGTCTTTTTTTTTTCTCTCTCTGCTGTGCTGCTGAATAAAGATGTAGATGACTTTTCTGTAGATAATGGTTTTTCTTCCCCATAGATTGTTGTAAATCACTTTCCAACAAGAGCCTAATTTTCTCTGAGGAAAAAAATCTAAAAATCTGTTTCATCAGACCCTGTGGATTTGAATTTTGTTTATTTTGGTGCATGCATGCCAAAGGTTGCTTGTGCCTCTGCACTGTGCTGAAGAGCACAAATACTTACACTTACCCTCACCCCTCATAGATCTTTACCTTCTTAGAGGGACGTGTGGATGAACGACAGTTTGTTTAAACGAAAGTGCAAGACACATCTTTGAAATTTATTGGGCAAGAATTCCTCACTGGTGCATTTTGAATTAAAATGTTCAGTCAGGATGGGTGTTCCTTTCTGATTATTTTTATTATCATTTTTATTTTTAATATGGCATTCAGGATGTAATTAGACACCTGGCAAACAGATATCTTATCCCTGAGGAGTGCACAGTGCTTCTTGTGGTCTTAGCTTAAATTATCCCTACGTGGCCGCAAACTGCATTCAAGCTGTATGTTTAATTCAACAAATGGACCTTAACATCTCTGGCAAATCCTTTTAGACCAAGGATCCCAGGTGACGTTTTCCAAGGAATGCTCATGTTAATGAGCACATGTGCAGTGCATTAGCCAAGGTCCACCTGGGGGCCTGAAGGAATGTGCAGAAGGTAAATGGGTCTGATTCATGAGAAGGCTGCTACCAGAGCTGTCTGGAGGGAGAAGGTGGAGTAGGTTGCTCCAGGACCCTGCCTGAGAAGTTGGAGAGGGCTCTCACTTACTGGATCTTGTAATTCTGACATTCTGTACTCTGGTAGATCCTACAATATAGCCCATTGACTCAATTTCTGTTTTGAGCTCCCTGGAGGCACTCCAGCTCTTCACTACCCTGCTCGCCCCCAGGAGGACAGCCTCCTGTCCATTCCTGGGTAGGAAGACTAGAGCAAGCATAAGATAATGGGGAAAAACTTTTTTTTATCTTCAACAGGGAGATGAAAAAAAAAAGGTTTCCCAGAAACAAATCAACTCAACTTCTGTAGCTGCTACTAAAGTAGCAACCACTTACAAGCTTACAGGAAAATAGAGGTTTGAAATGCCAATGAATATTCAGTTGTGGAAAAATCTGTTGAAGATGTTAAGAATGGTATGACTGTGCTCTGAATTTGGTATGCTGCTTATGCTGCTTCTGTTTACAACACAGCATGAGGTCAGCCCTCAAATAGGTTTTGTAACTGTTTTGCATAGATTGCAGTAGGTCTGCCTAAGAACTTAAAAGCTCCATTGGGGGCTATGTTTACAATGTGATACACAAACTTTTGTTGTAAAGAAGTGTTTAACACTAACACAATCTTTTAAAAAACAAACAAAAAAAACCAACAAGAGCTTTTTTTCCCCCTTCCAGAGTTCCAAAGCCTTCCTGAATGGTGCAAGTCGATTCAGAGTCCAGATGCCAACCTTAAATGCTAAAGAAACCTGCAAGTCTCAGGTAAAATGTAATCAGTGATTTTTGAAAAGTATGGAAAACTTCCTCGTGGTGAAAAAGCTCACGTGGAATATTTACAGTAGATTTACTATGGGTAAAGATTGGTCTTTGTTTTAGAATGCCAAAATCTATTTCCCTTTTCACGTGTAAATGTAATTCTGAACAAGAGAACTAAGCACTATCTAGCCTAAATACTGCAAACCAAGTTGGCTATGATAACATGCTTTCTCAGTTAGGGTTAATTTGTGATCTGCGTAGAATTCCAGCAAAAAAAGAATGCATTGCAAAATGTTTTCAAGATAACACATTTGAAATCTTTAAACTAGTTCTGTGGTTTGTCCCCTCCTTGCTCTCTCACTTCTCTCCTTTTTTTAATGTAATAGATGTATGTACTTACAGGATTATGCATGGAGACAGAGAGTTCTAAATATGAGCAGTTATTCACAGGAATCCTGCTTAAAACTTGTAAGTGTAAGTGCTGGTAATTCTCACTGAAACTGAACTCTGGATCTGCCCATTCATGGGCAGAAAGAAATGTTAACTTGTGATGAACACCAAGTGAAAATTTTCCATTTCAAATAATGTATTTGCATTCAGTACACTTGGCATATCATATCCTATGAGAATGACTTTTTTTTTTTTTTTTTACTACTTCAGGCTTCTACAGGAAAACAGAAACTTAATGTTCTTTTTCATCCTTTACCCACAGAATAATAATCCGTGTAGATGAAAAGGTTTTGAAGTTTTTGTCCGGGAAACTTTTTACTCATGATTTTGACTGGCTCCCTTTGTATTTACTGGAACAGTCTGTGTACTACCCCCTCCGAACTCAGTTTACTCATGTTCATTTTGAGCTGCCCAGGAACAGTCCCCAGCCCAAAAAACAATTTGTCAATATTATTCCACAGCCAGCTGGAAAATAAGGGAAGATGATGTAAGAATGACAGAGCTAAAACGTAGTCAGCAGTTTAGCGGACAAAAATGACTCTTAACTCTGGTTTCTAGTACCACTAATTGGTGCACACACACACAGTCACCTCTGCAAAGAGTCCACAGACTGAGTGGGCAAAGATGGCATACCCTCTCGCACTGACTAGTGTTCCCTTGTGAGCCCAACAGAGAGACAAAGTGTGAGGGCACTTGCTGGCACTCCTGTTGGTTAACATTCTTGTTTGTTTGTTTGTTTGTTTGTTTGTTCTCTCCTGACAGCTGGGTTATTCCTGTTTGTCTCTGCCTGGGGCCCCAGTTTTTCTGGCTGTGACAGAAGAGCTTACTTCTGTTGAAGTAGAGTTTAATATCTTTGCTTTTTACAGTGGTTTTGTTCCAGTTATGCTGAGCTGCTTATCACTGTTAGCTTTTGTGTGTGTATAAACAGCAGATGGTTAGCATTTATGAGCTGGTCTACTCCAAGCACACTAGAGTGGAAGCTTTTACTGATTTTTCATTGACCTCTTCAATTACTATAAAAAGAAAGCAGATATTCAGGATGTGCAGTGACTGAAAGCAGAATATGTTTTTGACTGTGTAGTCTGAGTAACTCCACGTGTTCCTTACTGCTTGTGTCACGTTGGCCTCTTAAAAATTATACAAAATAGAAAGATAATGAATCCTTTGAGCGCAGCGAACAGAGGCAGCAGTTTGTGCAGCAGTATCTGGGCTCGGCTTGGGCCTTTGGTGGACCTTATTGGAAGCTGTGGAGGCTTTCTGGGGACCCCCGAGGAACTAGACGGTGCTTGCTGCTGGCAGGAAAGGAGAGCTAGGCAAGGACAACTACAGGCCTTGACTTCTCCTGGGAAGCTCTAGCTAGGTGTGGCTGCTGCTAAGGAGCTCTCTTGGTTGCCCCTGATCATAGGCAGCTGGGGCCTTTGATCCAGGTGACCCTTGATTAGGGTGAGTCAAGCACCCTGTGAGTCACTGCTAGGCAGAGCCAGGCCTAGAGCACAGCTTCCAGAACACAGCAAACAGAGGCAATGAACAGATGCAGCAGTTCACGCAGAAGGGTGCCAGAAGGCAAGAAGGCGCCTTCATTTCTCGTAGTAGTGTACGTTTCCTCGGGTGTCATGACACATTGCCGAGCACGTTCCCCAGTGGCTGTTGGAGTTGCTGCTTCAGCTTTGTCTGAAGCTTGGACCCAGACAGACCTTTTGACAGCAGATTCAGCTCTTCAGGTGTCAGGCTGCAGCGAGTGCCTGGGGCCTCTCCATGGGGCCTGCGCTGACCGCCAGCTCTCCTGCAGAAGATGTGCTGTGGCTGATGAGTTGTATTGCCAGGTAAAGGAGTTACAGGAGGAAGTCAGTAGGCTGCGTTGCATCCGAGAAAACGAGCAAGAGAGAGACACGGTATTCTCGGAGACTGTGCAGCTCCAGGAGTCCCAACCCCCCCGCTGCAGTGGAGTTGCCAGAGGGCTCTGTACCTTGTGAAGCAGTACATCATAACACTGTTGAAGAAGGCTGGAAACTGATCACTCCTTGTAGAAGGAGAAAGGCTCTTGCTTCTCCTGAAGACTTGCCTTTGAGAAACAGGTTTAGTGCCCTCCAAGCTGAGGAGGACCTGGGCATGGCTTCAAGGGAGGCAGCTGGCCTGACAGACCCCATGCTGTGTGGGAACACCCAGAAGAAGTGGCGAGTGATTGTTGTGGGTGACTTCCTGTTGCCGTGGACAGAGGCACCTACCTGCCGACCTGACCTCTTGTCTAGAGAGGTTTGTTGCCTGCCAGAGACTCGAATAAGAGATGTCATGGAAAGACTGCCAAGGCTTGTCCATGCATCGGACTGTTACCCTCTACTGCTCTCCCATGTGGGTACCAATGACACCAAGGGCAAATTGGTTATGATCAAATAGGATTTCAGAACTCTGGGGATGGCGGTCAAGGATCTGGGAGCCCAGGTCGTTTTCTCCTCAGTCCTGCCTGTGAGGAGGAAGGATGGGAGGAGGAGTAGATGGATTTTCCAAGTTAACAACTGGCTGCGCCGCTGGTGCTGGCAGCAGGGCTTTGGTTTCTATGCCCATGGACCCTGTTTGAAGATCAACAGCTGATGGGGAGAGACGGGATCCATCTCACTAAGTGAGGCACGCGCGTCTTTGCCAACAGGTTGGCCAGCCTGGTAAGGAGGGCTTTAAACTAGGAAAGATGGGGGAAGGGTAGTGGTCTAGAGATAGGGTGATCAGTAATATGCAGCTCAAGTCAGGATGCCTCCAGCGGGTGCATGCAGCCAGGGGAGTGTGTATGAGACATGGCTATGGATGATCCTCTTGCACCTCTCCTGAGAAGCCTGCATGCTCAATTGCCTCTCTGAAATGCCTGTACACCAATGCAGGCAGCATGGGGAATAAGCAGGAAGAGTTAGAGATCTGTGTGC